AGGGTCCCCTCCTTGCATAAACGATTTAGGCGCAGCTGTTATGACAGCAGAATTAGTAGGTCAATGCAATGGAATGCGGAGGGAAGAGGGATGATTACATGAAGGAAAATGGCCTACCCTCCTACGCATGGGTGCAAATTAAACCACAAAAACTTGCTTAATTTTGTTAATAAAATAGGATTAATTTTGTTGACTAAAATCCACTCCTAAAACATGTATAACGTTCTAAAAAATGGTGTTATTTTGGCAAAAGTGATCTGATATGGTGTGATGAATTATCATTCATACCAGGCTGAATAATAATACTTTGAAAAAGGCGTCAGATTTGGAAATGAACACTTTGATTTCCGAATTGTATTCTCAACATAAGCCTAGGTAACAGGGCGGCTTTTGTAGCCGATTAAAACTGTTTGGGCTCCGTAGCAATGCAATTAGGTTTCGGAGTGAATTTATCTGAGTCTCACTTGATGGAGGAAATTAACATGATCCTAACGGACCACTCATTCTTCCGAATTAAGCCTCCCAACTTCGACTTTTTACATGATACAGCTTATCTGGTTCCCAGAAGTATGGTTAGGAATGGGTCGGATAAGAAGAAATATTTTGTTGATTTTTTTGCCTACCAACATACAAATGCACCGCTTCTTTCACCCCTAACACGCATTATTCTTTCATGCTCCCACTACCCAGCAGTAATTACAGTGAGAAAAGCAAATGATAGAAACGACCTTGGCCCTAAAATCATCGTCAGTTTACTACGATGGAGGATAGCATAGTCGCGCCACGCACAAATACCATGTGAGGCACATTTGAAGAAGTTACTATCGACTTCGTTCGGTAATATTTTTGATTGGTTGATGGCACTTCCGCTTCCAGCAATACCTCCATAAAGATTCGCCCTTGGCCTCTTGTTGTTCAAGAAAATTGTTGGGGTACATTTGGCACCCGTACAATGCAATCATTTGTTGAAACTAACACACATAAAAGGTGGGATGATAAATCGGAAGCACTTCGACCTTTTCAGAATTCTGGCATTGCTTGATTATGATAGGCTGGAACGTTAGTCAGCATTACAGCAGCTGTGGGAAGAATAGGGAAGAATTGACATTTTTGTTTATTTAGTTATTCATTTTGAGCTCAACGAAGTGGAAAATCATCCATAATTACAGTGCCATCAAACAAAGCATTTGAAAGAAGAGTCTCCATTTCTTAGGTTGCATAATAGACCCTTAAGACTTTAAAAGCTCGCACAAGAATTACAAGCGCCGCAAGGGGCTCAACTTGCATTTTAAACTGTTTTTAGGATTGAGGTTGTTGGTGCTCACGTCATGGCTTAAAACAAAATGCATGCACAAACTACACCGCACTGATCAACCCTTTAAGGCTAGTGACATGAAGAGTAACGGTTCTGGAACTTCAGTAACCCACCCACTGCGTACACTCCTCCGCATTTAACTTGTGGTGTACTCAAATCACCAGCATTAATAACAGTCTTTATCTCCGCCCCTTTTGCTTGTGTTCCCAGTAATATTGCTTTAGCAAATTACAAACTTGCACCATATCCCTTCACTAGTCCTTGTCCCTTTGTTTCCTGTCTGTCCACGGAACACGACTACAATAAGTATTCAAATAGGTGGCAATGCATAGTACAAACCATCGTACATATCCAAATGGCAACACAAGCCTCAAGTGCCCAAGAAGTTGGCCATTGGAGGAGAGTGTTTGGTTGACAGAGAGGTTCAAACTCATCTCCTTAACAGTAACTCCTCAGTGTGGTGCCTGATGAGGCGTTGGAGGAGCATAGGCGGCACTACTTTGGCTAAGTTTAATTCTACATTTAATACCCTCAGCATCAGAGCCACACATACGTGGCATCCAGACGTCCTAACCTCGGTTTCAAGTTGAACACTCGTGACGGATGTTTCCTGATTGACCTACGGTAGCGGCTTCAATCGCATCACATTTAAAAGAAGTCGTGTGAGATGTAAAACACAAATAGGAGTGCGGTTTAATTGGGTAAAGGATGTTTATGCTTTCTTGAGTTTCTGTTTGGAAGTTGGCGCGACTGATTAAGTTCCAGTACTACATTATAATACTACATCTGGTTTGTGATGAGTGCATAAAAGTACATTAAATTCCTGCGAGGCATCACTCCTCCCCATTTAAGTAGACCTATTTTAAATACATTTCCAAATCTTGTGAGGCTAATCAGTACTTACAAGTTGTTATAAAAATGAATGCGTTTTGAAACTACTAAAATATGCTAGTCGCAATTTATAAAGTGAATTTACAGGACACATGCCGAAGTTGAAGGGACGGGGCAAATCTGGCAAAATCTGGGCGGGAAAACCAAGCATCCATTTCACATTTTTACTTCCCACATCTTGTTGCCTTGCCCTACTCATTTCATGCTCATCCCGGTGTGCACCGGTGGTTTTGCAGACCAGTATTTACCACGCGATCATCCGTATCTCCAAGGCACTAAAATATCCGCATTCAGCTCCACACATACCACTTGGCAGATGTGAAGGCGTTTAAAGCAGATTCGGTAAGGGAAGTGAATAAACCGACACTACACAGTTGACTTTCGTTAATAGCATGACCTCCGAATCCTAGGGGGTCATAACTTGCACCACCATTTTTTTTTCATTGCAGTGCTCTCTAGTCATCCATATTTTAGGCTTTTTGTGTTGACATCTTTTAACTCTCTTGTAGATGATAAGATTATCTTTGTAGGGCTGCTATCGTATGTTTGAGCTTGCCCTACGGTGGCTATTTAAAATCACTTTCCTACTGTAAGGCTTTCGAAAGGTTCAAAAGCACCCAGGGAGGTGAAGTGGAAAGAAGTAAGACCAATTTTTGTCCTAAACAGATTGACGACAAAGATCTACTTTTTATGTCCTTTACCCATTTCCATGATTGATGATTGACTTCATTACAACCTTACAAAATACGAAAGCTAAAATAAACATAGAAGGCGACAAGAAGTTGGTTTCTAGAAGGTTCAATGAAAGCTGTAAACCAAAGACGGTTATGGTGATACTTGGACTGAAAGAGTCGTATATTTATAGTGCCATGTTGTGCCTAAGGTGGGCCTATTCAGAAGGCACGAACGTGATTTGCATTGAAGTCGCCTGTGCCTACGCATCCAAGACATTGCGCGCACCCACAAAGGGAATAGGGGAGGAGGGTGGGCGAACATCGCCAATCGCCAAGTGAAATAGTTTTTGGGATTCACGCCTACGTGCATACCTTCTTCACCGATTATCACACACATGAACAAAGAGATTGTGAAGGAAGGGGTTCCTCCTCTTCACTTTCATCATCATAATCATCATCCCCGTCCTCCTCCTCCTCCTCCTCCATCCCTGCTGCTCTAATTTCTTGGCTCATTGAAATAGGCAAAACTACTTCTGTTTCCAAATTCATTACTTAGGCAAGGGACAGTAGACAATCGGGCGTTGTTACCCGTGCAGCCTCTCAGTGCTAAAAATAGACAGTTTTTTGACTACTTGGTCTCTTACAGCATGCCGTTTCAGCCATCCCAATCTAGATGCGGCTACTTTTCCTACTATCCAAAAGGTCATAAGCATTTCTGCCTTGTTTATCCTTCTTCCTTCGTAGTTTATCTTAGCATGCAAAAATGCAGCAATGAATGAATGAATGCTGATTACTGGTGTCACTGTACGGAGAACATTGATATAGCAATGCAGATTAAGACACAAAAAAAGACACTTGTTGACAGTCTGCCCTACGGACAAATAAAAACTCTAGGCTTGCTATTTACTACTAGAAGTTACTCGTCTGAACTCGGGTAATTCTTCTTAAAGTCGCACCTTTTACGAGGCAAAACTCTCCTTTTTAACAATACCGAAATCGTAGCCTTCGTAGAATAATTTTTTCCTAAAGCTCTAGACGAAAATTTGTTAAAAATAATTTTCCTAAAATTGAACACTCTGGTTCCATGCCCACCACTGATTTGTTACATTCTAAGAAGACTGTCTCCTTGCCACTTGTGAGTGGTAGCTGGCCTATTCCCTGGTGGACTTGTCCACTCCATAAACCAGCCAACGGTGGACCAATTAGGCACGCTATCCCATTGCCGAAGTTGTCAATCGGTGGAACACTCTCCCACTTTTGCTGGGCTTAGCAGTGCAATAAAACTACTTGCCAAATGTAAGACTCATAGTTTTTTTGTAAATCTTGTGGCTTGCTGAGATAATAAAATCGGATAAGTTGCGTTAGAGCCTTTATCAACTTTTCTTAATTTGGCACAATTGGGAACAAATCGGATTGGCGACCATTTAATGGTTTGCAGTTAAGATTCTGACTTGCTACATGTTATTTTAGACATTGCGTTTTACCTTCTGGAAGACAATGGATTCCTTACCCACGCCAAAGCGATTGTATCTGATAAAAAGTTTTGAAATAAGTTGGGGAAGAAGTTGGCACTGAGGGGGAAAATTGGCTCATTCGCAGGACCCAAGTCAGTGCGCCCGAGCTAACCCATGTCCGCCAGCGCACACACGCACACATGCACCCAACCAATAAGATCTATACACACTGGAAATTCTCCCACCTTATTGGCCAGCCTGTAAAAGATCCGCCTTATAAACCGGGGATTTGTCTATAGCGCTCCTTAGATCAGTGACGCGATTGCACGAGCGTTCTTTTTAGCACGTCGCAACCAGGTGAGATCAGCGCTCTATCAGAAGAGGGAGATCTCAGTTTAACCGACAACAAAGGAGGCCTGTGGCCTAAGCCTCACTCAATATTCCTGCTACTGGGAAGAGGGCTACAACATAACAAGTTCTAGCCTCTAGAACCTTCCCTACACTCCCCTTACCAAGAAGGCCGAACTCGTGTCTTTTCTTTTGCTAGTGGAAAAGATCGTCAGTGACCTTCTTCGCGAATTCGCTCACATCCCCACCACCCCACTACCCATTGCTTTAGCAAGTACTTTTTGGCTTTCTGCTTTCGCCTCCTTTCATTGACCAGCAATGTCGGATCGAGATGACAGTTCAACGCAGTCCTTGTCAGATTTCTCTGACAGTTTCCCTTCCACCACCACAATCAGTACAGTCGCAGTTCAATCTGGACAATCAAAGATTATCCTGGCTGTTATGAGAGTGAGTGACACCCATTTCCCATACCTTACTCTTGTGACTATAAGAAATTACCAGCGGGTTTCTTTAATGACATAAGATGATCACCCACTTGGGTTCAATGAAAAAAAGGATTCTGAAAAGGTCCAAATATTAGTTACTCTGCTTTCGGGCAGTGTGGGTATAGTTGGACAAGGAAGCAGAGTAACCCGTAACAGCATACTCAATACTGCCATTTGACACGAACTTACTACGAGTACTAAAAGGGTAAGGTGAAAATATGTGGGAACAACCGCAGCTCTGGTAGAAAATACTTGCCTAAATCAACACATTGTATTGAGAGTCAAACTAATGCACTTCTCTGAATAGTGTGGCACCTGGATAAAGGTGAGAATTCAACGCATGGAACCAGATCTCTACGATATCGGTTCAAGTGGCACCTCAGCGGAGGTACGTCAGCTGTTAGAGCAGCACGCCAGCCTCGTCTCGAAATTGGCGGCCAAACAGGACCAGATTTCAGAGCTCCTCACGCGGGCCGAAGAGATGGTGTCCCAGCAGCCGACAGAGGGCCAGGCTCGCGTCTACTCGGCCATATCCTCATCCCTCAACAAGGCATGGCGAGAGCTCCTCGACGTTCTCGGCAAACGGGGCCACCTCCTCCAATTGGTGGCCGAGTGCTTTGAAAATGCTGAGACCGTTCATGGTGCTGTCGCTAGAATAATTGATGCCTCTGCCTCAGGTGACTGGGGCGATTCAATAGAATCAGTTCAACGACTAATTCAGGTAAATTTTACGTTTTACATGTTCAAACCATGAATCTATTTGGTTTAAATGTTGCAGTTAAGCCAGGATTAAAGTTAGAGTAGTAATAAATTTCCTTAACGCTCAAAATTACTTGACCTGTGCGTAAAATAGGGGTTTCCTGAAGTCGAACAAACATTTTCACACGATCTCCGCAGTTAGCTTTTACGGATTAAAAGTACGTATTTGTTATTAAAGCCTGATTATAAATAAACTACTACAAACCTTATGGAGAAAGGAGGGTGGATAAGACCATGATGCTTGTTAAATGCATTGGAGATGAAACTGCTTCAAGAACCAATGTTAGGCGTGAGAGTTCGAGGTATACATTATCAGATATTGATGTGTTACATTGGTACTGTCAGGAACATGAGGAGCTGAAGCGTGTGGAGCTGATGGAACCGATCCATCGGATGTTGGAGGCGGCCAATGGGGCGTTGGATTTGCTTACCCGAATGGCCGTTCGTACTGGGCAGACACCTGAGTCTGGGTTGACTCGAACTAGTGCCGAGACACGCGAGCGCATCGCTGCGGTCACCGGAGATGCCAACGAGGCTCATCGTCTAGCCGAAAATGCCTGGGAGCGACGTGCCAAACTCCTCCAACTCCGTTTAACGGTTGTCAGACTCGAAATTGAACACGAACAAGTTGTCGAGTGGTTCTCGAGGGTAAAATTGGTGTTCATTTCTCATTTTTCCTTCGTTCTCCACCCATCTCGGTCCAGTATATATCCCCATTTAGAAACTGTTTCAAGAGTTATTTTAAAAGCTCTCATTGAGAATCTTACCACTTCTTTTCAGGTTGGAGAACCAAATCTAGCTGCCACATTGCCTCGCACCACCCTTCAAGAATGCGAAACTGCAATGGAGGCCTTGATGGGCCTCGCAATAGATGCTCGTGAATATCAGCATGTCAACAGTCGTCTAGTTCGTCAGGCTCAACAGCTTATTCTTCCAAGGGGCGAAACTGAAGAACCTGATCTGGAAATGCAAACTGCTCACAAGGCTCTCGTGGATCGGTTCGTCACGGCAGAGAATTACATTTGGGAATTTATCGATCGCATCGAATCCCGCCGACGATGCCTCCAGGCTAGCATTATATTTTTCAGTGAAGCCGCAGTGGTAAGTCTCAGTTAAATAAACTGTCCTTTTCGTTCGGTTCCCGAGCTACTTAGTCAGCGATGCTGTTTTATCCTTCATACAGCTTCTTGACCATCTTAAGATCCTTGAAGGCGACATTAGTGTCGCTAGCACATCGCGACAGGAGGTTCGTGATGAGATCCTCCAGCGACTCACTGAACTGGAGATGCGAGTACCCGGACTTCGAGAGATTCTAACCGATCTTCGCTCACGGGTGGACGAAAAGCCATCTGTCATAGCACTGAGTCTGACACCTACCACCCCATCACGATCTGTATCGCCTCTAACCCCGACTGCGGATGCTGCGATGTCAGCAAAGCTAAATGAAATCGAAGATATTATCACCCGATGCCGCAGGCTGTGTAGTGGCTTTCCAGGCCGCGAAATCAAAGATCAACAATCTAAAGAAATTGACTACAGGCTCACTGCTGTAGGTCTCGTTTTTGATCTCAAACTAACGGGGATTAGACTAATCGCTAACATAATCTATCTTGGTGATCCTTTTCTAGCTATGGCGATGGACTCAGGAGAAGATTGATGGGGTTTTAAGAACCCATCAGTCACCAGGAACAACAATTTCTTCCGTATCAGACTTTGAAGACCTTCACAAACATCTCGAAAGGCAAATGGCCAGTCAACAGCGCGAAATTTCTACTCTTAACACACTTATTTTATCACTACCTCCGACTTCCGAAAAACAAAATTTCCAGGTATGAGAGATAGTTCTAAACTCTCTGGACAAATAACTTCTGGGAAGTAGTCACAAGTATGGCACATTTAGATCGACGTCTTATCTAGTCCATCGACCATTCATAATGACATCAAAGTTATCACCATTAGTAAGTATGTGGTATCGAGATGTTTCGACGAACATGGAACATACACTTTCTGCCCCTCATTTACTGCAGCTACTATTTCTAGGAGCAATTATAACAAAAGTATCCAAGTTATATTCCGTGTCAGAAGTGACCCAAATCATTAATAATGATAGGTCTTTATTTGGAGAAACGTGAACGCAAGGCTAAGAAGTACTATCTTTTCTGACCTTATACCATAAGCAACAAACGGTGCGTTTTTACTGTATGTTGATGTCTTCAGTAATTAGCAGGCTGAAATGCACACGTTTTTAGCACCGATTGGATGAGATAATCGAAGCATGGACACATCATCGCCGCACCGTTACCATCCGCTTGCGCATTGCTGACGACCTGAATCGTCTGCTAAGGCGCATTCGAGAGGACGAGTATTACTACCAAGCGTTGAACGATCGCCTCAAGTCAGTCGCTGCTGAAACTCCACTGACAAGCAGTGATGTCAACTTGCGTGTCAGCCAAGAACTACGAGAAGGCGAGATTTCTCATATCCACTCAGACCTTTTGGAGGTCCGATCACGTCTCGAATCTCAGCAGCGGACACTGCAACAGGCCCTTGACGAGGTGAGTACTTTATTTCTAGCTTCAGAGCCATGCCCTGACCTGTGGGAAGGCCATGAGTTGACTTCAACTAAACAATGGAGTCTCGGCTCAACTTCCCATTTCACCACTAAACCTCCCGTTCAAGTCAATAAACTGGATGTATGGGTTGTGAATTAACCTAAGTCACAGAGATCACGGCAGTTTCCTAACTACCGAATTAGCACACAAATTCGTTCCTAAATTGGGCAACTGAAGTTGTGCCCCCTTTCTGTGCATGCCAAACAGTGGGCTAGCGGACCAAATGTCTGCCTGCTAAAACTGGCAACGACGCATGCGTCCACACGCACGGCAGGGGAACGTGCGTGTGCGTGCGCGTACGTGTGGTAGTGCAAGCAGTAGGATGGCTAGGAGTGACCTTTACGCACCGACCACACAGCACTCCAGCGTCCATCCTCGTCCCTCACCCACGCGATCGATATTGGCTCCCACCAAGTGTGTGTGTGTGTGTGTGTGTGTGCGTGTGCATGCGTCCGTGCCTGCGTGGGTGCGTGAATGCGGTGGTGCGCGGCAGACATCACCCCACTGTGGGCTTCATACAGGACGGGAAGAAGTAAATTTGCAATAAACTCTGCATTAACCTTTTGAAGGTTGACTGAAGATCCATGTCAAGTGGGCATCACTTGAAGTCCATTTTTGAAAACCTGTACTTCTATAAACATACGCAAAATCGTGTTTAATTACTTATCTTTAGTGTCAGTTCAGTATGGATGATCTGATTTTGGGAAAGGCTACTTATGATAAGCTATTCCTTTTTCGTAGTAGAGTAGTAATACTAATACGAATAATAATAAAGCAGGCCACAAGTGGCATCGGTGTAGTACATAAATGTGAAGTAATTGAAGGTCGAGCATTTTTTAGCTTTCCAATGTCAACGCTACCGACGCAGACAAAACAGAACTACAGAATTTCTATCGAAGCCAAATTCAGTTGAATTTGGAACGACTGCATCACCTGGAGGAGCAGCTGAGTAGTCTCCTTTCAACCAAACAGATTTGGCTTTCATGGGACGAGAAGTGGAACGACTTTAAGAATTCCGCTAGGCGGGTACGTTTACAGGATGGTGCTGTTTAAGAAGGAATTTTTTTGACATCAACCTTGCTTTCGATTGGAGCAAACAATTCAGTGCGATAAAACGCATACATGTTGCTGGACCTGATGGAATTTGAAGTTCTAAGTTGTTTTGGGGAAAGTGCCACTGTAAACGACATCTCACATTGTGTAGATAAACACGAAGTCTAGAAGATGGAAAGGAATTCTGAGCATTGGAAAAGCAGTGCTTCGAGAAATCTACCTACAGACTACTATAGGCCTCTTTTTGAGGTAAAGCCCTTCTTCACTTCGGCTTAGTAAATCCTAATTTCATCCACAATGATTGTGCCTTGCCAGGTAAGTAGTGGACGAAAAAAACAGCCTTAGTCTCCTTGAAAATATCAGTCAATTAAACCTCTATTCCGCTTTCCAACCGTATAAGCTAACAGCTAAGGAAATCTCTGTGTTGCGAACATCTGGGCAAAAATTTGGAAGCAAATACAAATCTTACAGAATGACAGTGTCGAATTCATGTCATCCAAGTTGGCAGCATTGTTCCACTGGCTGTATTCCTTCGTTAATTGGCTGACAAAATTGTCACATTTCATTTATTTTTTAAAAAGTGTAAAATCCCAAAAGTATGCTTGTTGCTGTCTTGTAAACAACGTAATACACGATTATTTTTGTCTGCTTCATGACCATATCCGTCATTTCGAGACATTTGTAAAAGTTACTTGATATTCTACTCAAGCTCGATGAGGCGATGAGCAGTTCTCGAGCGCGCATCGTGCAATCATCGCGACCGCAAAGTGTGCCTGCAGTGGAAGCCGCTCTGGCAGAGCACACACGCGATGGTGACTACGTCAATCAATTAATTGCGGAAGTGAACGCCAAGGCCAACACTCTTGCTTCATTGGTTGGTGCAGAGCCCACTGTTACTGACGGACCCTCGCGGGTGCGTCGGTATGTGGAGGTACCGTACACCACCCCAGGTCCCATTGATACAGAGTTAGCGAAATCGGTGAAATCAGAACTCTGCATTGCCACCGCGGGCCTGGAGACCCGATCCAAAGACTGGGAGCGCGTCTTCAATGCGCACAAACATACCCTCGAGGAGCGTGCCAAACAACTGACCAGGATGATAGAGATGGATGTAAGTGGAGTATCTTTAACATTTCGGATTCAAGTTCTCACCTGTAAGATGATAAGCCATTGCCTCCTTTTCCATTATCAAGAAAGTTGAACGTGATCTTCAGGACGCAGAGTCCGAATTCCAGCGCATTAGCATCACGGTAAATCTTGACTCGCCAATGGCACAAATTGAGCAAGCCGATGAAAATCTCCGAGCCCTTGAGCGTCGAATACCGGTGTGTTTAGATTTTTGTGCTAGCCCAACAAATTTACTAGACGCTCAGACTAATTAACGGAACGTACCTATTTTTCATTTGTTAAAGGAGTTGAAAAGCCGTATTCAGAGCACCGCCTACCTTCCCAGAATGCAGCTCATTCGAGGACCCTCAGATCTACTGGAAATTAGTGGCGCAGATTTACCGATGCTGGAGGAGAGGCAGCGTCAACTGGAGACTCGTGTGTCAAACCTGGTAGCTGGAACCGCTAAATGCCGAACGGAGGTGAATTTGACACTTCAACTGCTTCGTGCAGTGCGAGAAGCAGAGAATCGTCTATCGAGTCTGACGGTGGACTTGGGAAGAAGCAGCGACCACCTTAAGAGCCTTGCACCCGACGATCAAGTGTCAATGCATCAAATCATTGCCGACATTGAAAAGCAAAGGGACCGTGCTCAGAAATACGCTGATCAACACGTACCACAGCTTCAATCGCTAGCCGCTCAATTCCCAGGTGGGAAAGAACTCATATTTTTCTTCTTTAAACCCACGTAGTTCTGTCAATTCGTTAAGGTATCTTTGAATATTTCACTGTAAATGTTGAGAAATTTTCGGTTTTAGGGATTCAAATAAGCTGTAAAGTGTTTACCACCTTAACCACCTAATTATTGCATAGGATTCATTCATACAATAGTAAAGACCACGAAACACTAAATGATTAATCTGCATATTCTCTCTATCCCTTTTCAGGTGATCAAGCGCTAATCAAGGTACAACCTATAATTCGACGCTTCCAAGATTCGACAGAGGCTTTGAATAAGCTGGTGGAAGACGTACCTGTGCGATCGGAACAGTTGGTCGACGTTGCCCGCCTCCAAGGTCCTGTGGTAGAGGCTGTGGAGGTGGTGGCCAGTCACCAAATGCATCTTCCCCGACCCAGGCCCCCCACCATCCTTAGGCCACTGCCCAACATCCACGTTGCCGAAGGGACACGCGTCTCTCTGATGACCACCTTCGATGCTGGCATTCCACAAGGTGAGATTGCTTTTGACTTACTATCTTTACAGAAACCGCAATTGCGCTTATTGCAATGTAGAAAAGTCAATTATGTTAATTTATGAATTCATTATTGTGAATGGGGAAATCTTGCCCTGCTTCAAGTTTTAATCCGCCAAGTATTTATGCAATGGCAGGATATCCAGAGCCGGTGGACATTGAGGGCACATGGCATAGAGATGGTCTTCCGGTGACTACCCCAGACTACCGCACCAGCATGGACCAACACTCAGCGAGTCTAACAATCGAAGAAGTCTTTGGCGATGACTCTGGTGTATTCACTTTTCGCCTGAAGACACCCTTTGGAGAAGCAGAAACCTCTGGTTCTCTAGTAGTCTCAGAGACTCACAAATCGATTTCCTCAATTCATGAAGAAATGATAACCCCGACCAAGCGAAGGAAACCACAACAGGCTCCTCCAAGTTTCCCACCTTTCAAGGAAGAAACTGGAGAGGCTCCGAGATTTACAAGGTGCTTAACTGTATTGCCAAGATTCTTTCCTAAAATTTTTTTAGCATTAAACTAAATTATTTCTGAGCAGTCTTTCACTTTGATCATAAAAAGCATAAGCATTTAACTGTTACCAACAGCACAGCTAAAAGTCAACTTATGGGACACAGTAGGAAGTGGCCAATTCATTATATCTCTAAAAAGATGAAATCATAAGAATTGTCTTTCATTTCAGCCAATTTCATCACTTATTATGAAACCGTAATTTGAATGTCTGCCAATTTTTTAGACCACTTCGATCAACGGAGGTTGGGGAAAACCAATCCATCATGCTAGAGTGCCACGCAACTGGGAGTCCAGTGCCGACGATAGCGTGGTTTAAAGATGGCATCAGCATCGACAACAGTCCTGAATACGTTGTTTTCGAAGTGAACGGTTCTTGCGCCATTAAGATTCGCAAGGCTAATGCGCCTGTTCATGATGGCAACTACACTTGTCGAGCAAGGAACACCCATGGCGAAGCCATTACCACCTGCCAACTTCACGTCAAGCCAATCGAACCACCTCGTATAGTCTATCCCCTCTCCGATAAGCAGGTTCCCGAGGGCCAATCACTTGAACTTAAACTCACGTTTAAGGTTGGATACGCTTAGATTTGTTTCTACTGATAAGTTCAAAGTAAGACATAATCAATAAGTTAATGTCTACCTTTTTCAGGGCACACCCCCTATACGTGCTGAATGGTACGTCAATGATGTGCCTCTGGAATCCGTTCAAAGCTCCGCTATTCCAAACATTGTTGGCGATAAAGCAGTTTTGAAATTGCCAGCAACATACCAGCAGGATGCCGCACAATATACGTGTGTGCTGAAAAATTCTGCAGGAGAGGCTCGAAGTTCCTGCCAGGTAGATTTGCGACCACGACGCGTTGAGAGGCCGTTGAATATCGAGGAGTTGATTGACGCGGCCTCGGTGCCACCTGCACGTCGACCACCTTCACAATCGCCGTTGCAAGATGGACAGCAGTCGCCTATTGCTAGCTCCCCCAGACTCCCAATAGCTCCATCTAGACCAGAATCTCTGGATCGGGGAAAGATTTCTCCTCGTTCAGTCTATTCTCCGGTCAGCGTAGAGGCCAGGCCTCCGTGGAGAGCGACCTCGGTCCCTCCACAACTCTCCAGTATCTATAGGACTGAGTGAGTCAAATGTTCTTTATCAAATATGAATTGAATGCGCGGGACCTTTGTCTGACACTTGCGTGGCTTTCAATGAGATCAAAGGGCACCTGAAGTTCAGAAATTTATCTGCCTGGCAAAGAAACTGGTTTTTATGCCACTAGTGTGGTCATCTGATTTTGAGTTTTTGTCTGTCCGCTTTCGTAAAGACTAATATTAACCGTGTACTCATATAGACATCATAGAGATCTCCTTGCACCTAAACGAACATTTTCGCCTGGCCAACTACCTCCGCAATTCACTCAACCACTGCACAATGCTGCAGCCACGGAAGGCCAAATGGTGCGCCTTCAGTGCCGAGTTCTCGGTCGACCAAGGCCACAAATTGATTGGTACAAGGATGGTGCATCTTTGACTCCTGCACCCAACTACGCTATTCGCGCAGAGGGTGATAGGCACTGGATTGAGTTTAGTGACATCTATCTGACCGATCACGGAGAGTACTCGTGTGTTGCAACCAACCCTGCTGGTGTGGCAAAAACCTCATGCCGAATGGATGTTGAACGTAAGATGAGGGGTAGTGACACATTTGCAAGCATGACTTGATGCAAACGAATGACCAAATAGCTCATTAGCGCATGCAGAGTAAATGAGAAGGTTCGAGTGTTAACTTACTTTCCCTCATTACAGCACTGTCAAGTGGCGACGAATCAGTGGACCGAACACCCCAGATTGTCAAATCCCTCCCACGCTATTTGACAATCAATGAAGGCGAGGGTGTAACCCTAGAGTGTAGCTTCGTTGGGCGTCCAGAACCTTCGATAACATGGTACAAAGACTCGGTGCCTCTTCAGGCATCACCTAATGTTGAGGTGAGGTTTTTATCTATTGCGATGCACCGGATTCGGAAGTAGTACTTTTATTGGGTCCATTTTGACTGTTTCAGTTGAAAGTGCAGTGTTTTTCTCTAGATCATTTATTTTGAGGCATACCTTATACCCAGTAAGGATGGAAACGTATTGTGATTTTAGCCAACCTTCTCAAAAAAATCACTAGAATTAAACTAGCTCTTTTTCATTTTTTAAAGCCATGCGTCGTATGCAACAGATACCACAAAAAGGAGAGAGCTGTTGGGGTAAAAATAAACAATCCTAGCGCATTGCGAAGCGTAAGTGATGTAGGGATCTTCATTCTCTCGTTCGAATATACGTAAAACGTGACTGTAGACAAACTGCCTACTTTCTAGTTATGAAACGGTGGTGTGTTGTTAATGCACCTAAAACACGGAATCGCATCACCTAAAGAGGGTAATCGAAAGCTGCACCTACTTCTCAATCCTGAAATTAAAGCGCCCATTTACTGACGTAACTAGATCAGTTTTATTTGCCAAAAGTACTCAAGGGCCGAATGATGAGTTCTACTCAGGTAAGCTCGAGTCTGAATCACCTCTGCGGGTGGCTTCGATCGCTCCTCCCCCTTCAGCTATCGATCCGCAACCACTCACGCCTTTATCAGTTGGCTAAATTACTTCGCGATGGACGTCGCCCACCCTTCACTGTTTTGTTTAAGAGTTGACTAAACTAAACCGCTAAAATCAGGAGGCGGTTTATAAACTGCTGGAAGTGCACGCTTGCCTGTCTTCCTTGGCAGATTTCACAGGTGGGATCTACGGCCGTACTGAATATGACTGATTCCAATATCCAAGATGCAGGCGTATATAAGGCCGTTGCCTCAAACCGTGTTGGAGTGTGCCAATCCGAAATCCACGTAAACATCTTGCCGACGGGCAAAGGACCCAGACCTATGGATGCTTTGCCTCTTCAGGAAGGACCTCCACGATTTACTAAGCCTATTCGGTAGGACCATTCATTTTTTCCCATACAAAGGGGTCAGTGGTAGTTATAATAAAATTTTGCGGCAAAAGAAGTTGAAAATTGTCAAAGGGTTTATTTTCAAGCGAAAAGCTTTACGATATTGACGCATACTTGTGTAGACAGTTCTTATGAAGTACTTGCAATAGCCGGATGTAATGAACCTTGAAGGCTTATTTCAACCGCTAAACCGCACACGATGAAGTTAATTTATTCATTTGAGAAAATTTGTATGTTTTCTAAGCAATGGGACCACTGTCGTTGATAATTATTTAAAAAAAAACCGTAAAAACCGTAACGTCTTATTCATCGCAGCGATATCCACATGGAACCTCGTTCACCGAGACTTTCACGCTTTGACTGTTTCGTTTTGGGCATTCCCCGACCAACCGTTGAATGGCGACACGCCAATCAGAAGATCGGGCCCGAGGACCAGCGCTACCACATCACTGCCGACAGGCCTCCTGGCGTGCATACTCTCACCATTCTCCAACCGAGCCAAGACACTGCTGGTGAGCGCGTCGCCCTATGCTAATTGTGGCAGCATATGGGTTAAGTAGGATCATAGACGTGTGAACTGAAAAAAAGCAGCTATTTAATTTTTCGCTTTTGAGGCAGATTATGTACACCAATGATAGCAAAGCTAATTTGTGAAAGAGGACTTGAAAATCTTAATAAAAAGCCTTTAATAATTGGGCTGACACAGTGCATTCCTACTGGAGTCGCGTGATTTTAAGGTACTTGAGTATGATCTACAAAGCAATTCTTTTGGCTCTTTTAAGCTCGGCTTTTAAAAGCATGAAAATTATGGATGAAGATGGAGGCATAATTTGGCCAAGGCATCCTGAACCTTCATAGTTTAATTATGACAATCTTTTCACTTGGTCGTTAAGGTGAGCTATTGAGAACCAGAGTATGATTCTTCACTTTTACACGTAGGTCACTACGAAGTTTTGGCTGAGAACATCCACGGAAGTGCCACGTGCTCAGCTACTGTCTACCTGCCGCGCAAACGGTCTCTTTCCTCACTGACTTCACTTTCCCCGGTGGTTTACGCAACACTGCCCCGTCAAACATCGCCGTGGAGACAGATCAGCCCAGCTGCTTCAGTGCACGTAATTCCGACATACGCTACCCAGACGACGCGACGCTTTATGCGCGAGGTCTCTGAACCACCGGAACTGCGGAGATACACTTCAACAACACAACTGCACGTAAATGAACGGCACACTACACCACCTGTCCATTTCACTTTCCGTTTGCCACCAGAGAAGGCAATGAGCAAGGTGGAGGTGAGTTTTGCATATTCTTACCCATCATTTAACTTCTGCAGACTTCACAATAAAGAGCTTTTCAAGTCGCTTCTAACTGCTTTTCTTTTTTAGGTTATGAGACCGATTGAGTCGATGCCTTCTCCACGACCTCAAATTAAGCATGCTAGTAGCCTTACAGTACTGAATAAGATGCAAGTGTGCCCCGTAGTTCCCTTGCAAGAGACCATTGTGCAACATCGTGTCGCCAGTCACCCGCGTCTGTCTCCGGGTTACGTTTCAACCGAAGACCTAATGCGGCCTATTGAAGTGGTTCCAATGGTTCCCGTCTACGAGACTCGACGGGTTCTAGAGTCTCCACAGCCTAAACCTCTCAGAAGAACTGTATCACAAGACAGATTCAAAGTATCGGTTGAGGCTCTTATTCCATCTCGTCCCGTGCTTGAGTCGAACATGGCAACTGAGGTGTTTCACCACAAGACCATCCAAGTGACGCCCATAGTTCCGATGTACCGAACTCAACGGGAAGCCTCTGTGGCCAGCCAACCTGCCCTAGAACCTGGTTACACTAGTGAAGGCGAATTCGAGCACAGCATTGATGTCGTACCAATGATTCCAAGCTACAAGACTGAAACAGAGCGCTCAGTGCCTGCTCGTCCCTCTCTTGAAACCGGATTTGAGTCGAAAACAAGTATTGAACGTAGAATGGAAATTGAAAGAGAGCTGACAGAGGTAAGACTTTTTGTCTTTGTTGTTATTCTTCTTGATACAAAAAACCTTATGCATGTTACCGCTTTTTGTAAAGCTGCGTTATAAAACACAAATGGAGCGACCTGTGCCAGCGCAGCCACAACTCGTTCCTGGATACGCAACCACGATGGATGTTGAACATTCTATGGACGTTGTTCCGTTGATTCAAAAGCCTGAGGAACGTTTCCAAACAAGCTACTCTACCGACGTCAGCGTTCAGGTTAAATAATTAACCCCATTTAATTAATTTTTAATGGCTCAGAACATGTGGTTTACTTTCTATTCCTTATTAGTACGTTCCCGTCGATTTGGTTGTCGAACTTCCTACTCCTCCAAAGTTTGTTCAACACCTCAATAATGTTGTTGCTGAGGCGGGATCCCAAGTTGTCCTAGAGGGCATCGTAAGCGGCAAACCTACTCCATCCATTTCATGGTTCCGGAAATCCACTCCACTCACGGATTCTCCTGACTTCCGCTTAGAATACTGTCCTGATGGAACTGTTAGACTTACTCTTAAAGAGGTATTTACCGTGTCCTTATCTATGGTCATCAGGTTGTGAGCTATTCTTTACTTTCCGTTTTACGCTAAATGCAGACTTAGGTATTCATTGAGGATACAGAAAATGGGAGGATATCGTTAACAACCTCTTTACTCTCACGTTGACTCAGACTTCGGTCCATTTTAAATTACGTTTTCAGATTCATGAAGCAGATGTTGGACCCTATCGTTGTGAAGCTTCGAACATCGCCGGGACTGCAGATAGCTACGCCTATTTGACCATCACTGCAAAAGCAATTGCACCGAGATTTGTTAAGGGGCTTGATAATGCCACTGTTCTGGGAGGAAACACCATACGTCTAACTGTCAAAGTTGAAGGACAACCGAAACCGGATGTTAAGTGGACTGTCAACGGTTGTGAAATCACTAGTTCGCCTGATTTCGTGATCGACGAAACTGCTGATGGTGTGCAATCTCTGACTATTTTGCATGCTCTTAAAACGAATGCTGGTCGCTATTCCGTGGTCGCAAAGAACGAAGCTGGAGAAGCCATCACGTCAGGCACAGTGACTGTTCTAGGTGAGACATTGGATTGGCTTGACTTTATGCATATTGTATTGGCTACACATTAGCACAAATGTGGTAATTAAAAGTGTGCCAATGAAGAGGATTTTAGGGGGCGTATGACACTTCTTTCGCCTCGTATACATGTTCTAGGCAATGATTAAACATTGACTGAACTGTTATATTTCGTTGTAGAATCACTTCCTCCGTCAACTCTGCCGTCTCCAAGACCTGTCGGAGAAGAGGTTACTAGGACAGAGGTTAATGTTCCTTTAGCCATGCCGACGCCAGGACCCACAATAGCGCCTACTCCTGAAGCTCCTAAGTTCACTAAAGTGAGCATTTTGGTCTCTAAAACCTTATTCGGCATCCCAAGCAGAGTTTAGTAGTTGGTAAATGGTTGGCTGCACTTTTACAAAATTTGTTGTCATATTCGAAGAGGCGAATCGGTGGGACTAGACAAAATAGCCAACATCTCAAGGCGTAGCTATTGAAGAAAATTCTGATTTACGTTATTCTTCTAAATTTTTGGATTTGTAGTGGACAAAGAATCCGTTTATTTTTTGATAAGATGGGATGATCAGCTTTTTGGAACAAGTATCAGCATCAACTGCCAAAATTGCTTGTTGAGCATTTGAGTGAGGCGAGTAAGGTATTATACTAATTTGCTTCCAAACAACTCATTTACCGCCATAGCTGTTGCCACGATGTCGAACAGTAGAGGAAGAGACACCTATGGTTTTGACAGTGGAGGCCAAAGCCAACCCAATGCCTTTCTTGCACTGGTATCGCAACGGAACGCCTCTGGAAACCGGGCCGAACTACAAGGTGTCTCAGTTTGGTCCAAACCTCGAAAATATCAGTGCAATTCAACCAGAGTCAGTTAGGATGGTCGGTGAACTGGAAATGTCAAGAGCAACTCCAACAGACGCTGGAATGATTGTCTGTATTGCTGAGAACCCGTACGGTCGTGCAGAGACAACAATGACTTTGGACGTGATTCCTAAACGTGAGACTGCATTTTGGATCACGATGAGGGCCTTGAGCATTTGTTTGCGTAGACTTGTTAACTGAAAAGATAATACTGCAAAGCTTTCATTGGTCTCAACTAATGATGTTAGCTTTTCACTTAAAGACTTTCTGATTTGATAAAAGCATTTAGCTGTCTTGAGTTCCCGCCTACTGAAATCGGCTCTTTTTCTTTAAGCGGAACCTCTACAACCTAGTGTCCAACCTCCAACCCAGGCCAATCCACAAAAACCTTGGTTCACCATTGTAAGTACCTGCAGACTAGTAACTCTTTACATGTCATATATTCTATCATTATATTTGGCTTAACTAGTGCATCTGCTTGAATTTATGCTATGTCATTTAAAACAAGTTGCGAAATTCCATTTATAGCCCCTTCAACCGACTATCACCTTGCAAGCTGGAGCTCCTCTCACTCTTTCTACGGAGGCGATGGGTAATCCGCTTCCATTCCTTCACTGGTATCGTGATGGTCACCAGCTCGATTCGACTCCTGAACACGACATAACTCAAGTAGGGCCGGAGCTGGCTAAGCCGGAGGCTCTCTTAGATGGTCCTGTCTCAATGACCGGACGTTTGATCATCAATGAACTTTTCCCTACCGATTCTGGTACCTATCGGTGCGTAGCAGAGAATTCCGCTGGACAAGCTGAAACCTTTATGACATTGAATGTTCTTCCACCACCAGGTAAGACATATATATATGCTACTCGGTGTGTTATAAATCTAATTCCAAATGTTTTAACTTTTCCAGTTGAAAAACAAGGTCAGCGTCCGCGGTTTGTTAGGCGACTAGCTCCAACCACTCAGTGCAAAGTGGGAGAAACGGTAGTATTAGAAACGGAAATATCAGGTCAACCACCTCCACGAGTTTCCTGGTACCGCAGTGGACTTGAAATCTATCCTGATTTCAAGTACCGAATGGAGGAAAACCCAAACACTGGAATATACCGGCTTGTCATTCAGTCCATCGCACAAGAGGACGTATGTGAGTATGCGGTGCGTGCTTGCAACGAATACGGATCGGTGGAATCAATTACTCGACTGACTCTCATCCAAGAGTAAGTTTAGTGAAGTGTTACACTATATTTGAACATACTAACAAAAACTGCTTTTGTTTAGGTACACTGAGGTGACTCGAATTGACTTACCTAGGACTCTAGCACCAGTTACCGTGGAAGTTCCATATACACCCACTGAAAAAACCCAGCTGGATGTTCAAGTAGAGTCAACGTTTTCTCCCGTTGTAATGGCTGTGGAGGTGAAAAGGCCCCGTCAACATCTTAGTGAATTGGAGATGGAACTGAAACAACCACGAATGGAATTTCAGCCGATAACTGTGGAGTTCCCACATCCTGAAAGAAGTGGTCAACCGGCAGTGTTTGTTCGTCGTCTTCCCGATTCCTTGACGCTGGATGAGAATGTTCCCGCGAGGATTGTTGCTCAAATGTCCGGTATTCCATTACCTTCCGTCAACTGGCTAAAGGATGGACAGCCACTCAAGTCAAGTGATAGAGTATTTACATCCGTCGAGGTAGCAACTTCTGCCTTCTTAACGCTTTATAACGATGATACTGAGGATCGATTGTATACATGACGTCTTTGTTTTTAGCCTAACAACATTTTGGTTCTTCAACTCATCCAACCAAGGCCAATTGATAGTGGAACCTATACAGCCATTGTTACCAATTCCTTGGGTCAGGATACATCCTCTGTGCAGGTATTTTTTGAAAGTGCTCTCAATGTTAAAACTAAGTAGTTGCAATGTACTTTATTGACATTATCACTTCATCGCCCAGGTCAACCTCAGTGCTCCTCCAGAACCCAAACTTGAGGAACCTATGTTGGAAAAGATGGGTGCTCCACCGAACTTCACAAAAGCTCCATTTCCTCTTCCACCACAGACGGACAGTCAGAAAGACGTGATTCAGTCCCCAAGCGTGTTTACATCTATGGAGGGAGCACCAGTAAAGTTTGAGGTTCAGGTTTACGGAGTTCCAGAACCCAGTGTTTCCTGGTTTTTAAACGACGTACCAGTGCGCCTGGATTATAAGCACAAAGTAAATTGTTTGGTGGGCTACTTTATGAATGGACTCTTGTAACTGATTTATATGCACAACTGTAATTTTTCACAATTACAGATGCTAAAACTTCCCGAGTCGGTACATTGCCTCACACTGGAAGCGCCAACATCACTCACCGATAGTGGAACATATCGATGCGTCGCCAGCAACCCTTTCGGGGTTAAGGAAATTGTCTTTCCTGTTACCATTGAACCCAAACCTCAGCAGGTTACTGCTCCTCCGAGATTCACAAAGAAGCCTGCTCCAAAAATTGTTGCATTACCAGGGCAACCGCTCCTACTTGAAGCTGAGTTCATGGGCATTCCTGCACCTGTGATTTCTTGGCACAAGGATGGAAGGTGGGGTCTCAAATTTATTAAAGTTATAGTTTCCGTGTTAAATGCATTTTTTTAATGCTTTAAGAAGCTCCAAGCCATTCACAATCACATTTCGATGAAATGAAACACTACAAATAAGTGTAAATGCATTGTCAGAACTGCGATTCCTGGCAACTAAACCACTTTTTAAAAAATTTGTTGCAGACTCATTTCTCCTACTGAAGTGTCAAGTGGACGCGTCCAAGTTCTTGTCACAAAAAATACAACCACATTATCTGTTGCTGAAGTCAAACCTGAAGATGTTGGGATCTGGCAGTGTCTTGCCTCGAGCACTGCTGGTTCAGCGACTTGTCGAACCAAACTCGACCTTGAAGGTTTGACGCAGACGACTATTGCCGAGTTGGCACCATGTATTTTTTTGGAATTCTTTTAACGGTCTGTTAATATTTTAGTTCCAAAACCTGTAGTCGAGGAACCGCAAAGGATGCTTTTCATTCCGAAGAAGCGTACTTCTGTTTCGGGGTGAGTTATAGCGCGAAGCAGTGTGTTTGGTGTTCGAAGAAGTGCTGAAACAGTACGATCGGAAGATCTCTTTTTCCATTTAGTAGCTGTTTATTGTGCAGAAAGGCATTGAAGTTGTATAATTTAAAAAGATTTTTTCATTTGACAAGATGACAGTTTCATTAATTTTACTAGTACTTTTTTGGTATTACAGGCCAAGTGACTCCCCCTATCCGGAAATTAGACAGCCTCCTAAATCTCTAGACGTAGTTGAGGGCAACACTGCTCGGTTCTCTACAATGATAGTTGGAACTCCACGTCCATTGGTTCGCTGGTATATCAACGGTGTCCTCGCACTCCCCACTATCCCCCTTGAAGGCAGTACCGAAGAACCTAGAGAACTATCCCACTTTGATGGTCTTCTACATCATTTTGAGCTTCGCGACTGCCGGCCTGAGGACAGTGGGGTTGTCACGGTTGAGGCTCTTCGTGGTGATGTTTCAGAGGACACTGCAAAAACCGAACCTAATGCTGTCGTTACCGCTTCGGCTAACTTGAGAGTACTCCCTGCTCCTGGAAAGATTCCACTTCTACGGCCTGTCCAAAGTAATATCGAGTCAAATAATGGAAACACGAAATGCTAACAGAATGGTTATTGCTTGTTAAATTGTTTCATGTAACATTGTAGAAACTCCAGTTCAGCAAACCAAATCTTCACAACCGCCTGCCATCATACAGGGACCTAAGAACTCCACAGTTCAAGAGGGTTCATCGGTCACTTTTACATGTCAGATAGCGGGATCTCCAGGTGAGTCGACAGCGTGACAATCATGCCATATCGGAAGGATATTAATTGTTTCGACATCTGGCGTCGAACCATCAACGCTTAGTGACATTTACTCTGTAAATCTACATAACTTCCACTCTATAATTTTAGCGCCTGAGGTTATTTGGATCTATGACGGACAGACTGCTATTCAACCAGGAGCAAATTTCCACACCATAGTGACACCCGATGGAAAAGCCTCTCTTCGCATTGATCAAGTCCGACCTGAAGACACTGGTGAATATAAGATTCGGGTGACTAATCCAGAAGGTTCGGTCGAAAAATCCGCCCGGCTTGATGTAATACGTAAGCTCTTAGAGGGTAATATTCTATGCGTTTTGCGCTAAAAGGCTAAGCAGTTTAATTCCAAACTCCTCCACGCAAACAAATGTGTTGTTGGTTTGCTGCTAACCTACATTACTGAATCAGATCTAACATGAATGACTCGTTGCACTCGTTTGCTAACGCCTGCTCTGCATTTTATCGTTCTAACGTCTGTTATTCGCTTATCACCTGAGCGATTTTATTCTACCGCAGCTGCGGAAAAGGCGCCTGAATTTACAACGCCTTTTCCAAAGGAGATACTGGAGCTTCCTGAAGGTATGTCCCTCACCTTGGACGTCGAAGTAGTGGGGAAGCCAACACCCCAGCTTGTGTGGAAGAGAGATGGTATTCCATTCTCTCCAATACCCGAAATTCAAATCACCCAATTGACACCTACTCACCATCGGCTAGAAATACTTGAACTATTCCAAACTGACAGCTCAGAATTCACTGTCGAAGCGTTCAACAAACTCGGCAAAGCAGTCACAAAGACGAAGTTGATTGTGCTACCAGGTTCGAATTTATACTTTTAATAAGCTTACGCTGAAGATGAATATGAGTAACCCGAGAATTTACCAAATTTAAGGAGTGAAAGAGCAGCCTCCATTCTTCACTACGTGTCCACCTGAACGGCTAACTGTGCCCGAGACTGATGGAACTCAGTAAGTTCCTATTTCCTCAGCTGACCATTTTTTTGAACAATGGGAAATGCCTTCAAGCGGGGTCATATGGTAAATTTTATATCTTTTTCTGCATCATTATAAGACGAATTACGGCAGTTGACTCGAACACAGTTATCAATAAAGAGGACATCAGTACTTCTAAAAATACAGGCAAACGAGGGGTTTAAGTAGGGTTGTGTCGTATGCTATGCGTGGTATTGTGAATTTCATAAATTCATTTCACTCTCAAACCGAAGTGATGCGCCCTCTAATCGTCCTATCTATCAAAGAGAATAAATCTAAGTCATATCCATGCGTAAATAAATGATCAAAGCTTACCCTTTTCTTGCGACAACACAGAAAGCGTGACTTACTAGTGTTTTAACTGGTTTCCTACAGAATTGAATTTGTAGTACGTGGAGAACCGAAACCGAAAGTTCGCTATTTCCACAACGACATAGAGTTGTTTCCTACACGAGTAGGCGATTCTTCGACAAAAAGCAAAGATAAAAGAGTGGAAGAAAATGTAAATGATGATTATGTTTTCTTCATAAATGAAGTGAATAAGGAGGACGCCGGAGAGTATATCATTCGCGCCGAAAATGAACTTGGCATAAGCGTTTGCAAAACAGAGATAAGAGTAGAGTCGCTTGGCCCTAAAACAAAAGTCCTCTTCAGCAAACCGCTACCACAGAAAAGAATCATAACGGTAGACCACAAAACCATCTTCGAATGCGAGGCCATCGCAAAACAGCCAATAAAATTTCTGTGGTATATAGATGAAAAGGAAATAGATACTACAACAAGAGATGTTGTAGTCAAAACAGAAGGTCAGCGAAAAAGTACATTAATAATGCCAGCGACACAAAAAGAAAATATTCCAAAAGAAATTACCGTAAAGGCTATTACAACCGATGGCGATTACGCAAAATCAACAACAAAAATAGAATATATGGAGAGCAAACGAGTTCCCTTGCGATTTGTTCAACCATTGCAACCGACAGTGGCACCGAGCATTGGTGAGGAC